ATAACATTATTTTTACTTGTACATATTTAAAAAAACTATCCTTTATAAAGCCCAATTGTGAAGCAATTAGAAAAAAAAATTACTTGCCATAGTTCTAAATGTAACAAGGTGATTTGCACAGGTATCAGACCAAACCATGTCATCAGGTTCAACATTGGTTCTTGTTTACAAGAAACTGCATCCAGTCACTCCTGAAATACACCACTGTTCCCAAAACAAACCGACAATGTTGCTATATCAAATGTTCTTTCCTCTGCACAGAATATTCCTATTTCCACTGCCCCTGGATATTTTTGGCCAGGTTACATCTATTCGCGTTAACACCCTTGTGGGCTACATTTCTAACACAGGCCTGGAAAATTCTCCTGCCACCTGTCTAATTCACTTTTACATTATGTCAGTGTGGGGCCCACCTCTAGAGACTCGCACGCATCCCTGTGACACTTCTGAGTCGGAATATCTGCATGGTGCATTTCCTCCACAGGTGCCGACACATTAGTCTGACGGTGTTGATCATAAAAGACATGACACCAGCGTGCAATTAGAATTTGGTAGCTGTGCCAAGCACAGATTTCGTCGACAGAAGCAAACCTGTAGGTAATGCTATAAAAAAGCTTGAAACTTAGTTAAAAAAGATAATCGAGATATAGGGTCGTAATCAAACACACTACATCCTGCACCCCAGGCAATGTAGTCAACATCTCGCCACCACGGCGCCACAATTTCAGTAAGCAGTGTATCATCGTGTGTCCGAGACTTTCCTCGCATAACTGCTTCTGAAGTCGCTGTAATTGGGTCTCTTACCCACACTGCATGGCATTAGTTTAAATTTCCTTCAAAGTGTTTGTTGCACAGTAAACATTCCACAATGTGTCACCATAACAAATTAAATGTCAAATTTAACTGAAAAAGTACATTTAATGCTTATTTTTTTTGTACAGCCATTAGTGACTAAGTGAAAATGCTCAACTCCCTTCTCTTGAAACAGAGTTTCAATCTGACATGTCTACTCAGATTCAAACCCAGGAATTCTCTACTGTGCCAGCTCAGAGCTCTGATACAATGTGTAATGCTTTCCTCACTTTTGAGTTTCAGAATTTTGTTTATAACCCGAGCAAAATAATAACTGTATATGACAATATATAAAAATAGTAAAGTATATGAACCTGCCCATGGCAACCTTACCCTATACACAACCTAAAATGAGTACTTGGTATGGTGCGAACATCGGCATTCATGAAGACAATGACGTTGATTTGTAGTGTTGGTCACACCTTTTTTGTGTCGCGCTGAGCTAAATTGGTGCTTAAGAGCAATTGCCCGAGGTGGCCTTAAGATAATGTGCGGGATATTGCTCGTCTGTGTGTGTATACTGCTATAGGTACATGTATTTTTCTGTAAGTGTGTGTACCTTGAGGGGGAGACGAAGGGTAGCAGTTGGCAAAGTCTACTATGAACCCAACACCCAGAGTTCAATTGCCCGCCACGGTTAACATCTGTGGTGGTGATTATCTGCAGCAGTCCTGGTCCTGCCCTCGGTCAAATTAGAAACTGGTGCGGTGTCTTTGTGTGCCTTGCTCACAGCACTTGCCCCGACAGCTTGCATAGGGGTGACATGGGGATCTTTGTCTTGGTTTGTACCTGGATAAATACCTGCTGGTCTATGAACAAAATACACTTGTCTGTGCTTGTAAGTGGCTGGTAGCGTTTTCCTCTGGAAAACAGCTGGTTATAATGTTTCAAGCTTCTAAGCCCAGTAATGATGACACCCAGAGCATATCCCACTTCAATTACAACAACAAGATGACTCGTAACTCCCCCTCCACACCCATTTCTACTCTGTCTCTCGCCCTTCCTCCATTTTACTGAAGTGACAGCGCAAGTGAAAATATTTAGATAGATACACAGAGAGAATAAAAGTGAGGTTAGAAGGTCACGTCACCCTATGAGTCTAATTTCTCTGAAAACCAATACAGGTTGTCGAGGCCTACCTCCGTACGTTAAAGAAACACCTGCAGGCGACAACAAATGGTTGCCCGACAGTCAAGACAAACGAATGACTATAGCGAAAGTGTGAAAAGTGACAAGCGCCGACCAAGCGAGCCGATGGAACGATCCTAGAGGAAGAAAAAAAAAAGGCGCAGTGAGCTTGGGAGCTTCGCGTCGCCATGCTCACAGTGTGACGACCGCACCGGCGCATTACCAACGAAGCCTGCGTGCGCCTTCCTACACCGCAAGCGGGGGGGGTCACCACGCCCGGCGAACCAGAGCTCCTCACAATCGTGCCCCGACTGGGAGGCCAACGGGCTGCTCGGCGTTTGTGCTCGTGCAGCCACATGCCACAGCGGTAACGCCCATGCGCACGTGCCCGCGGGTGAGCATACTAATGGTATATAAATAATGGCAAGCACACGGGAGGCACGCAGGACTTAAATAGAGCGCGGCTCTACTACGATCCACGGAGATGTACGCCAACTTAGCTTCCACATTGAATATCTACGTTATAATGAGCTGGTGGGTTTGTGCAGCATTGCAAGAAAATACTGCACTGGAAACGTTTCTCATGACTCTCGATGTGCTTTGAGGCAGCATGCACAGTGAAAGGTGCTTTGGAATAAGCCCAATGATGATGATGAAGAAAGGCTCCTGGTGAGCGTGACATCATGTGGCAACAGAAGCACTGCGATTCAGAGGGACCCTTGGGCCCGATGGGCAACTTGTGCCATAAATGTTATAATTCCCGCAAATTTATAGCCAATAAATCAGGGAAAGGCGAATTATTGTGGATGGCAACCCACATGTAAAAACAACAACTCTCAAACGAGCATCACAGAAATAAATGTCAAATGTGCATCATCCTGAAATGCGTGGCTGACTTTATATTTTTGTTAACCTCTCCACGAAAATAAATCTTTACAATGCCCAATTAATAACCGAATCAGAAATTTGAGTAGCATTTGGTAAATACATCCAAGGCAATTTTACAACCTCCAGCCAAGGAGGGGCATGTTCCCCTTTGCTTGCTTCCCAGCCACCCTTCCCTTTCATCTCAATAAGACTTAATTACATAAATGTCACTCACAAAACAACAACGCCATTCATCACTACCGCTGTTGTCATTCCCATCACTATCATTATAATTTTAATGACCTCTTAAGTTACAAATGTGAACCTTTTCAACGGCAATGTCTCAAGAACTGTTTTCCCAGAGAGACTTTCTTGTCACGGCTCTTTCTAAAAAAACTTTCTAAATAAACTGTGGCGGAATGTAACCTTGGCAGATATCTTGATAAAAATAACATTGTAATGGGCACGCACTTGTTTACACAGACATGTGGCTCTGTAAAATCTGCATACTGGCAGGGAAAGAAGTGCAATGCTCACTTCAGTCTTAAAAAATATTCACACTGGATAACAGTAAAATTCCAGTGTGTGATAAAAAAATGTCCGAAAAATAGATGTTGATTTGGCGAGGTCTTTCACAACACAAATGCCGGATAATGTTAAATTGCACCTCTTGTGAATGGTGCAGCTTGAGTAAGTTAGTGGTTTGTGAATGCAAGGCTCCGTGTGGAGATTGTGAAGCTCTCGTGGGGATGTATAGCTGTGATTGCAAGTGTTGATTGAGGGGTCGCTGTGGGCAGAGACTATTCTTGGGGATATTTTCTGCGAGTTCTTAACAGCAACCATGGACTTCGGTGAGCAATTTAAAGGATAATTTTATAATAAGTGGTGCCATGTAATATTTATACATCAACGTAAACTACCTGCTGTTGCCTTGACAGTGTAAATATGGCATTAGGAAAAGCCTTGACTTGGTGTTTCTCTCATGGGAAGTTAGGTGCACAGGGGGGGGCTGGACTATGACATATCCACAGTGTTGAGGAGCATTAGAAATTCAATGAAGGCTTCGAGGGGTTTGGGTCGCATCGGGAGCTGGGCGCCAGAAGCAGTGCCTTTTGAACTGATATGAGCATTGTAATTGGTTTAACTACCTTTTCATCACAATTGGATGACTATAACAGAAATGTTCGCATAGAAAGTGAATGCTTTCTTCCAGTTGATTAGGCAGGAACTGAAATGGGCCTTGAAAGCAACTCTACTGAATCTCCGAGTTTAGGCAGCTCTCCGCGAGTGTTCACAATTTCTCTTTCGTACAGCGAGTGTGCACAACCTCCTGCAGAGCCAAGGCTGCCCCTGCAGCAGCACTGGCAGACAGCCCCATGCTAACAAACTACGCTGCCACTAATCACTCTCTCTACACGACAGCATCAAACGATGCTTAATACGGCGTCTGCAACACTGAGTAAATAATCCCTCTGGGGAAACGAAAACAGCACATCCTTGCGTACGGAGGCGAGCGTGCGCCGTCAGCTGTGGGGCCGGCCGGGATGAAAACGCTACCCGAAAGTCATCTTTGCTCATTCAGTTACGACGCAATCTTCACAGACTCATAAATGTTAAATGCTGCACGCCGATATTGCTGCTGCCTCGACCACTTGCAACTTAACACGAAATCAGACCTCTCTATTCTTAAAACTAGTTTGTGGGGTACGGGAAAATGTCCTCCTATGTGCGATGACATGCCGGGGCACCATCATTGGCCTTGAACTCCTCTCATTCGTGGGAAGAAGCGAAACATGGCTGAAAGGATCAACTTACCACCGCTTCCGAGTTACACATCTCATCCACGCTTGGATAACTTATTGGTTGGCGTGAGCCCTGGTGCAAAGAATGAAATGGGGTCCCCTTTCCAACTTCCCCCAACTTCAGAGCTCGACGCCTGTGGCCCGTGGGGCCCCCGGTGCCCCCGGTGCCCCCGGGGCCCCGGTACAATCGCACATCCTGCACACTGGACGCTCTGCCACTGCGGACAGAACACCGCGCCATTGAGAAAGCTCAAGGCAAGGAGGGTAGCGGAGAGGGGGAACGCTGAGACAAGCGCAGTGGAGCCCGGGGCAATGTCAGGGCACGGAGCGGCAAGCACGCTTGGGCCTCACTTCCTGGCGATGATGAAGGGGCTGCTGCAGGCCGAGGGCTGTGCGGGTGAGCGCTGGCCGGGACCATGGACCATGCCGAAGCGCACGTCGAGAGAAGCGCACGTCGTGAGAAGCCCACGCTGCACGCATCCGCTGCTCCTACATCGTTGACAGGAGTGGTGCCCTCCCTCGCTCGTGAGCCATGCGCACTCCCCGCGACGCTCCGCGCACTGCAGGACGGAACGCACACGCGCGCGCGTGCACATCGTCCGTCAGCAAGAAGCCGCTTACAAAAACTCTTCACGACACCAGGCTGATGGCGATAGGACGTCAAACGGCAGCGAGCTAAGATACATTCCACGAGGCTGTAAATATTTCTACAGCTGTTTCCACAAATGGTAAGACAATATTTATAAGACATTACTAGAGCTGAAACAGGAGAACAGGACATGTTCAGAAATACAGCAGCACGCTAAATAAAATAACTATCAAGAAGGATTAATGTTCACTTAAGACTTTTTAGACAAGACATATGTACACGTGCATACTAGTAACTAAAAGCAGGTCTATAGGCCACTGTGACAAATCATTTTGGAACGTTTGGGGTCAGAGGCTTTCGGAGGCTAGATCTAGTTGTACCCAACGATGATTACCTATTTTCCTGGCATAATACTTTATTCAGCTATGGGTGGTTCATTCTCAAATGAAATGAGTTTCAGAAACAACAACAGTGAACATGTAGCGTCCTAAGCCACAAAAGGGTTTCAATGTGGGTTTGAAACAAAAACAAATCCTATGTTTTGATTTAAAGCTTTCGTGACTGCAGTAATTCATATTCTTAGTTTTTTCGGTAAAGTCACGTTGAAGAGAAACAACAAAATAACAAAATATATATAAAACAATAAAAAAATTCTCACGACGTTTCGACCATAACTCAAACGGTCATCATCAGGTGTGTCGGTTTGCATAAATTGCATAAATTTATGCAAACCGACACACCTGATGATGCATAAATTTATGCAAACCGACACACCTGATGATGACCGTTTGAGTTATGGTCGAAACGTCGTGAGAATTTTTTATTGTTTTATATATATTTTGTTATTTTGTTGTTTCTCTTCAACGTGACTTTACCGAAAAAACTAAGAATATGAAATCCTATGTTTTTGGCGAATGTTCCTTGTGCAAGCCTAATGGTGAAAGTCCATAGGCCTGAAGCATGCATTTTTATTTATTATTTATATAAACTCAACCTCTAATTCATGCATAGAGCGGTCAAGCTCTTACACCTGACGCTTGAACGCATGAACGTGTGTAACCCGTACAACAAAACCAGGCGATGCCCATCTTCACTGACAGCTCTGAGCCAGTGGTGGAGATTCCACATTCCTATCATGATGGCCACTCCATAGGTCAACCATTGTGGACTTCAACAAAGTGGTATTTATTGTATTAACTCTTAAAAGGAAAGATGGTCTGATTCAGCCCAAGCTGATATTTGCCCTTGGAACCTTACAGTTATTAAAAGAGCGCTTTTGACCACAACTGTTTGTCTAAGTGCAAGTAAAAAAGCCCTTTTGCCAATTGACTGCTGGATGACAGTCACATGCCCAATGCCACGCGAGTCCTGGGGGTGAGTCGATCTATACCTAACCAGGATGCTCAGTGTGGGTTAGTGAAGGTGGGGAGCATAGAAGTACAGCACAATAGATTTTGTTGCACTGCCCTTTGCTTTCTATTACGCAAGCCCTGTATTTGTGCGGTGGTGGGACCACAGCGGTACCCGACCAGACATGCCCTATTCCCTGTAATGTGGTAGACACTGCTCTTAAACACTGCATCTTCAAAATGCACGGGTAATTATAACTGCTTCATGCATTCTCTGTTGCATGCAAAGCATGGTAACGCCCAAATGCCTTTTACACCTTTTTTTAAAATTAATTTTAAACAGGCCAAGGTGCAAAATATTCAGTAGGTATGGTGACATTTTGCAAATATGGATTTTTATTATATGTAACTAATTAATTATTGCTTAATTACATTATGGGAGAAGGCACACTTGAATCAGCTCAAACACCACCATGATATCTTGGTGACAGGAAAATCATCGACATTGTTACATTTGATGGATCATCAAATCTCATAACGTTAAAGTATTTCTGTGAAACGTGCCAACCATTGCCTTTATTCCCTGCACTTTTATTTCCGTCTTCATTGTTAAACCCTTTTGGACCCTGACAGAATACCGAACGTGGAGTTATCTAATATTTGGGCTACCCAGTGTCATTCAATTAGAAATATGTCCCTCCAACAAAGAATGTACACTTACATTATTTTATGTTTCACTAACCCATTCTATTACGCATTTACAAATCAATACAGAATGTACACTTACGTCATTTCGGGGTTGCAACAGCTAATGTTCTATTAATAAATTGTGCAATCTACTTCACTGTTTTCAGTGAACAAAATATGACGTACTCATTACCATGAAAGAGCAATCCTCTAGCAGGCTATAATCGTAGAGACATGGCTGAGGAAGAACTGGTCTGCCTGTGCAAAGTGAGCATGTTGGCTCATTGGAATAGCTCCTCCCCATTTCGGGAGGCCTTCATCCAGCAGCAGATTGATCATGGCTGATAATGATGGACCGACCGACTGTTCAAAGGACATTTCTAAACTACTGTGTCTTCTGAACATTTCAAACTATTTAATTTTGCAAACTAATCAGATGGACTCCATTTAACTAGGATGTCATGTGAGAAAAACATTACCTTGTCTGAATTCAATTTAATTCCGATATTTGCACTTTGGTTGACATTTAATAGAAAGACTCTGTGATCGCCATGGAGTGCATTTATTAGGTACTGCACTAATATGGATAAAATATAGCGAAAACAACATTATTTCAAACGTCTACATGTCTCCCACCAATTTCAAGAAACTAAGTTCATCTTCCATAATGATTTAGATGAGGTTAATCTTCTGATGAACATTGTCCAGCACAGTTCCGGTGTGATTTGCTTACAGCCTTCAATGATACATTGGCGAGGGTACTGACAGCTTATGGGTTTGTCGCACACACACACGATCTTTGATCAAACCACACAAGAAATCATCCTTTGGGCTCATGTCAAGCAAATGCAGGGATCCACACAATTATTCCACCTTGGCCAATCCATCACACAGATTGTGTCATGAGAAATGTGGGGTGTCTAAAAACGGATCTCCTTGTATTATACACATTACTGTAGGCTGTGGACATAGGTGGTTAAAGTGACTCATCTGCGCATGTAACAGCAGACCCAAGAACAGAACAATCCTCTCAGTCTATTCAATATTAACATCAATAACGATCAAGTAGAACTTCAAAGCCCATCTGAAAATATGCCGATCTTGCATGACTCGATTACTCATCGGATCATATTACTTAAAAAAGGGAGAGCCTTTTCATTTTTTATTCCGACTTTTGAGAAATCACTTTTGTTAAACTCTTCACTAGCAAGCCTCCCCACACGCCACAGCAAAAGAGTCCACAATGTAACCATAGCAAAAAAAAAACACACAATGCTTTCCCAGTGGCGGGCCATGTAGTTTACACCTAGGCCTTCAGTGCCATCTTCCCGCAATTAAACCACCTTCAAATAACCTCACCATAACACTAGGGCTATAGGCTATTGTCATTCGACGTAACCACCCCATATTCACAGTGGCAGTAACCTTTATCGAGTGGAATAAAGTGTTTTAACACGAGGCTCAACACCTATGAGAGTTACGGTACACTAATTGCAGGGACATGAATACATGGTGACTGAAACCATCAAGGAAGTACCACTATTACGCAGTATGGCAGGATGCTGCATCACAAACAGACATCGCAGAGCCCAAATCAATGTCGTTACCAAAGAAACAAGAACACACTCACAACAACCAGTCACATTTACTCGTACGACCACCATGCAAGCAAAAATGCCGTAAAACACAAATAACACAATCATGATTCAACAGGCTTCCCCACAAAAAAAACAAAAAATCTAAACGTCACGAAAGAAAGTTTAAATAAATCTGAGACGATGCTACGTTTTACTTCAGTTAGCCAACTGGCTCTCCGATCACGCCACACGAAAAATACTGACGTAGGCGGCTAGGCCAGCTAGAAGGCTCCGGCGTGTCAAAGAATCCGCTCAACATGACAAACTCAAAATCTGATTGTTTAAAGAATGACAATCAACAACATCGTCCCCATTTGCTTCAACAGCAGAGGGGATTCACTCAACATTCTGAAGGCCTCAGGGTAGATTTTTCACCCGGAGAGGTGGAGACAGCACAGGTGGAAAATCTGATTGGATAAAAGCTCTAATTTATGAGCTAGACTGGAAGCAGCACAACTGAGGAAGAGAGTAGCAATGAAATAACGTTAATAGACTGATTAAATTATAAAAAAAAATTCTGATTCTGACAATCTCTAGGCCAGCAGAGAAGGCCTTGCTGGCCCCAACCGCCCGCCTCTGGGATTTCCCCAGGTGACCACCTCCTCAACAGGCACAGCAATTCAGCTGGGGTGTGGACTCCAGAGAAACAGCAAATCTTTACCACGGTAAATTAACTTTCAATGTCCTCTTATCTCAACATTCGCCATGAGCTGTCCACTTCGAGCTCAAGGCCTACCCAACCTGTCCATCACCTTTTACGGTCTTGCAAAACAACAATCCATCTAGTTCCTGCACACGAGGTAATCTCAGCGCTCCGTCTGCCCGGTTGATGTCGTCCCAGGGTGTGTCCCAATGCATTGGAAGGAAGAAGCCTAGAAGGCTGACAAAATTTGAGTGGTGCCAGTTATTTTATTGATTTTTTCCTCAGCCTAAAACCTCATTACTCTTTCGCTACCTCTTCCCACCACCTGGCAGCGGAACTCTGCCATATTACAGCTTCCTCCACAACGTGCGTGCGAGCGAATGCAGGGAAACAAAATCCCCATTGGATTGCTCGGCGAGGAGATGCTCCTGCTGGTGCCAACGCGTCGCGCTTGCACGGCATTATGTTGTCAGCAACTTACAATTGTGCAGCCCATCACAAAATGTGCTGTTGTTGTAAGAGCTCTGTTTAATCAATGAGGGACCCCATGAGCCTCGTTTTCATGTTTCAATCCCCAACGACACTTGACGTATTCCAATAAGCATTCTTTCCATGCAGGGAAGAAAATGGGTCTTTCATAATAACATGAGAGTGT